TTTCCTCCTATCTTCTTTCTTGGCTGTCCAGCTCTCACATCCATACATGGTAATAGGGAATAAGATGGCTTGTATGATTCTGACTTTTGTATTGAGTTGTATGTCTTTTCATTTTAGGATTTTTTCTAGTTCTTTCATAGCCACCTTCCCCATTCTTAATCTTCTGATTTCCTGGCTGCAGTTGTCATTCCAATCAATGTTTGATCCCAGATATGAGAACTGTTTTACTATTTCTATTTCCTCATTGTCTAGTTTGAATGTGTGAAAGTTCTCTATGGTCATTATTTTTGTTTTCTTTATGTTCAACAGTAAGCCTGCCTTTGCACTTTCTTCTTTGATCTTCCTTAGTAGTTGTTCCAGGTCTGTGAGGTTTTCTGATAGAATTATGGTGTCATCAGCATTTTTCAGATTGTTGATATTTCTTCCTCCTATATTCACTCCTCCCTCTTCCATGTCCAAGCCTGCTTTTCTTGCAATATGTTCTGCATATAAATTGAATAGGTAGGGTAATAGGATGCAGCCTTGCCTGACTCCTTTGCCAATTTGGAGCCATTTTGTTTCTCCGTGTTCTGTTCTGTTCCTGAGTACAGATTCCTCATTAGGTCTATCAGATGTGTTGGCACTCCCATGTCTTTATGGGCATTCCATAGCCTTTCATGGTCTAAGCAGTCAAAGGCTTTGCTATAGTCTATAAAGCACATGCTGATTATCTTTTGGAACTCCCTGCTACACTCCATTAGCCATCCTATATTTGCAATGTGATCCCTGGTGCCTCTTCCTTTCCTGAACCCTGCTTGGACCTCTGGGATTTCTCTCTTCATGTGTGGTTGGAGTCTGTGTTGCAGTATTTTGAGCGTAATTATTGCTATGGTTCTATAGTTGCTGTAGTCTATTGTGTCTCCTTTTTTGTGGGTGGGGATGTATATTGATCGCTTCCTATTTTTTGACCATCATTTTGTTTTCCATATCTGTTGTCATATGTTGGTTAGCACTAGAAACAGTTCTATTGATATATTATCTTTTCCTGGAGTCTTGTTTTTTGCCATTTCTTTTATTGCAGTTTCCATCTCAGTTTTTAGCTATTGGGTTTCATCTTCATATGGTTCTTCACTCCATGTGTCCTTCATTTTGTCATCTCTTTTGTATAGTTCTTCTGTGTGTTGCATCCAATGTCTTTTTATTCCTTCCTGCTCTTGAATTGTGTTATTTTATTGTTGTAGAGTGTCCCTGTCCTTGGTTTGAACTTTCCATTGATTTCTCATCTTGTTGAATAGGTCTCCTGTTCTTCCCTTTTTGTTGTTGTCTTCTATTTCACTATAATTGTCATTGTAATAATTTTCCTTATCTTTGTGCT